GCCACCTGCCCCAGCAGGGCTGGAGGGCCAATGTCCTCCGTGTGCACTGCGGGGGGGGTGGCCCCAGCCCCCTCAACCCACCTGTGGAGATGTTCCCCCAGCAGGCTGGCGACCCCCTTGGAGGTGAGACCTGGGCCCGGTGTGGCCAGATCCTTAGCCTCAGTCCTGCGCGCTTGGCCGAATCACACGTACAAACATTCTCCTTTATAGCCTAGATCATTTTACTAACCAATCATAACAAAATCACCTACCCAAAATCACCTACCCCACCTCCTTCATTGATTTACACCTAGCAAAATTAATTATACAGCAGATAGAAACAGTGACATTCGCCAAAGAATCAATGCACGCAAAACAGACATCAGACAGTTTCACAAAGAAAAAACAGTTTCTTGCCATCGAATGGGCATTGTCTCAACGACCTTACTACCTGCATCCTGTTTCAAAGAGATTTTAACACAAGATTTCAAAGAGAAGCCTCTGAATTGTCATTCATGCTTAAATGTGACACTTTACGAATGGGCCTTAACAAAGATGCTAATTATCTTACCCATTACAAAGATCGCTTCCCCAATTATCACCTCTAATATCATTAGCTCAGACGTTAACCCTCCCCCCTCACCTCCCCTCTGGTCTAAAATCTGATTTGTCTATTTGATATGTGTTCCTTATTTTGGATTGTATCCCTTTGGTATATATGGTCCTGCCGATTTTCTTCCATAATTTGATCTGAGGAAGTGGGTCTGGCCCACGAAAGCTCATCACCTAATAAACCATCTTGTTAGTCTTTAAAGTGCTACGTAGTCCTGTCTTTAGTGACAAACCAGACGGAGATCACACAGTCACACAATAAGGAAGTGTGATGATACTGACCATAGAGTGAGGATTCCGCAACTGCAAATATTGATATGCAGTTTCTTGCCAGACAGAACGCTGCGCCTTCAGTTTTCTTTACCCGTCTTGAGCTCTGTTTCTTTATCTGGCGACAGTGGGGAGCTCGCAGGACAAAGTCCCCTCCTCACAGCCTGTGTGTGACTTTATTTTAATGCAATTTAGGGGGAATGTGAGGCTGCAACTCCAGGCCTTACAGCCGATGGCTGCTGCTCTTCAGTCTGGCTGCAGAAGGCGGCTTTGGTTCAGGCCTAGCACGGGCCTTCCGGCATGGCTACCGAAAAGCCAGATTGTTACAGACTGGTTGGTGACCCCTGTTTTAAGGCAAAGCACCGTGATGAGCGGCCAGGCCGGGGCTTGCTCTCTGGACGGGCTCGCCCTCGCCGGACAAAATTGCATCACCGCAGAAACGTGGGACCGACTGGGAGAAAAGGCAGCTCCTCCCCCCTCCCCCGCCCCCTCGGCCGGGCATGGCTACCGAAAAGCCAGATTGTTACAGACTGGTTGGTGACCCCTGTTTTAAGGCAAAGCACCGTGATGAGCGGCCAGGCCGGGGCTTGCTCTCTGGACGGGCTCGCCCTCGCCGGACAAAATTGCATCACCGCAGAAACGTGGGACCGACTGGGAGAAAAGGCAGCTCCTCCCCCCTCCCCCGCCCCCTCGGCCGCCTGAAGGGGTCCCCCGGGATGCTGGCCCTCGTGGTCGCCCTCTGGCAAGCTGCAGCGCGGCGCGTTCAGCCGCCTGTGACATGGGAAGATTTCTGTGCCTGCCTCCGGACGGGCAGTCCGAG